GGGCTCCTAAAACCAAAGGAGCGCCGAAAACAAAAAGGCCCCCGAAAATCACGAAGGGTTCACCGACCAAAGGGGCGCCAAAACCAACGATGCACCGAAAACCACACGAGGCGCCGAAAACCAAAGGAGCGCCGAAAACCGAAGGGGTGACGAAACCAAAAGGGCGCCGAAACCAAAGGAACGCCGAAAACTTCAGAGGCGCCCAAAACCACAGGGGCGCCGTAAACCAAAAAGGCACCAGAAACCAAAAAGGCGCCGAAAACCATAAAGGCGTCGGAAACCCACGATGAGCCAAAAACCAAAAAGGGTGCACAGAAAACCCAAGGAGCACCGAAAACCAAAGGGGCACCGAAAATCATGGGGCGCCGAAAACCGAAAGGGCGCCGGAAAACGAAAGGGCGCCGAAAACCAAAGAGACCGAAAACCGAATGGGCGCCGAAAACCAAAGGGGCGCCGAAAACCACAAGGGCGCCGAAAGCAAGCTTCCAAGCCCCCCCTTCAGCCAGAGCCTCCCAGCTGGAAATACTGGGGGTGGGGGTAGCTTCGAAGCCCCCTCCCCTTTGGAAAGGGGGGCCAGGGCTGAGGGGGGGTAGCTTCGGAAGCCTCCCCCCCCTTCCAAGGGAAGCGGGGGGCTAATTTGAAGCTGGGGCCCCCATTTTCTTACTCCCAGCACTGCGTGAACGATCTCTCCTACTACTGCTAGTGCTATAACCAGCACTACAGCTACTACGAGTACCGCTTCTGTTACCACGTCTACGACTACTACTGCTACTACTACTACTACTACTACTACTACTACTACTACTACTACTACTACTACTACTACTACTACGACTACTACTACTACTACTACTGCTACTGCTACTGCTACTGCTACTGCTACTGTTGCTGCTGCTACTGCTGCTGCTGCTGCTGTTACTACTACTACTACTACTACTACTACTACTACTACGACTACTACTACCACTACTACTACTACCACTACTAGTAGTAGTACTACTACTACTACTACTACTAGTAAGAATACTACTACGACCTACTACTACTACTACTACTACTACTACTACTACTACTACTACGACTACTACGACTACGACTACGACTACGACTACTACTACTACTACTACTACTACTACTACTACCACTACCACCACCACCACCACCACTACAAGAACAGCTACCTGCACTACTATCATGATCAACACTATTAATTACACCACGGGTACCACCAGTAAGAATGCCACTACTACGACGAGTACGACTACGACTACGACCTACGACTAGCACGACTACCACCTCTTCTATCACTACTACGACTACTACTGCTACCAATGCGGCGACTTCTACTACTATTGCAAGTTGCCGGTTCGTCGGCGACTGCACAAACTGATACTATAATATTCTCGATACCAGTACAGCCGCCACTGGTACTGCTACATGTATTGGTAAAATGAACTTTTAGCATCTTGAATCAGGCCCCACGACGGCCTCTCGTGTTCGTTGGATGCCCGTGCCAAAGGAAAGAAACAGCTAGATAGAATTAATGAGTGCCCAACAACTTCGCTCCTGTGCAGCGTTCGCGCTCTTACTCACAATGGTGTGCGCCTGCATTCTGCCAACCAAGGGCTCGAAGATGTCGGCGTCGGGAGAAAACGCTTGATTCGGGCAGCTACCCAGTGGAAACTCCCACCAGCCCTTTGGGCATAGGTGCTCTAACGAGTTTTTGTTCTTGTTTCACTCCCCCTCCCCACCCTGAGGTGTCTCGGGTCCTGGACGGAAAGGTTGGAGCGCCCAAAATGGTCCAAGAACAAGAGGGCCTTCACTGCTCCAAGATGACTCGATATAGCCGAGGATGGTTCAAGATGGCCTCCAAGCCTCCAAAAGGCCCAAAAATGGTTCCAAATGCTCACGGACTCCCCCAAGAAGCCCAAACCTTTCAAAAAGCTAGAAAACCACGATAGTGGTGCATTCTCGCCTTTTCACTTCCGATGGGCCTCTGAGGCCTCAACACGGCCCAAAGATGGCCCAGGAGAGCCCCAAGAGGGACCCAAGAGGCTCCCAAGACGGTCCCAAGAGCGCCCCACGAAATTTTGGACCCCCCCTCTCATTTGATTGACACCCGATATGATGGCCCCAGGAGGCCCTCCAAGGCTCCAGAAAGGCACCCGAAAGGGCTCCAGAGAGCCCTAAAGAGCAAATCCGCCCCCCGACGAAGGACCCAACGACACGCGGCTGCGAGTATCGCGAGGCAGGTGAGACGAAGGAGGGGGGCCAGCAAATGGACTGCGGCGTTGATGGGGGGGTGGGGCTCCCTGTGCGCACACGAAATGTGTGAGGGGTGTTCCGAAATGGGCGGGCGCGGCGGAAACGTGTCAGCGCAGCCACTGGGGCCTTCGGTGGAGCTCCCTCGGAGCTACGAAACGGGTGAGGGGTGTGCCGGGATGGGGCGGGACAACGATGCGTGCGCAGCCATTGGGGACTTATGGAGCCACGACAAGTGTGAGGGGCCTGCCGAAAGTAAAGCGGCGGTGACATGCGGGCGCAGCCATTGGGGCCTTCGGTGGAGCTCCCCATGGGGTAACGAAACGTGTGCGGGGTGTGCCGAAATGGGTGCGGTGGCGCCATGCGAGCGCGGCCACTGGGGCCTTCGGTGGAGCTCCCTATGGACCAACGAAACGGGACGGGTGAGGAGTGCCGAAATGGGTGCTGTGGTGCCATGCGAGCGCAGACACTTGGGCTTTCGGTGGAGCTTCCCATGAGTCACGAAACGTGTGAGAGGTGTGCCGAAATGAGCGCGGTGTTGCCATGCGAGCGCAGCCATTGGGGCCTTCGGTGGATCTCCCTTTGAGGCAACGAAACGGGTTAGGGCTGTGCCGAAATGGGCGCGGTGGTGCCATTCGATCGTAGCCACTTGGGCCTCCAGTGGTGCTCCCTATGGGGCCACGAACCGTGTGAGGGGTGTGCCGAAGTAGGTGCGGCCATGCGAGGGCAGCCACTCGGACTTTCGGTGGAGCTCCCCATGGGCCACGAAACGTGGGAGGGGTGTGCCTGAATTGGCGCGGTGGTGCCATGCAAGCGCAGCCACTGGAGCCTTCGGTGGAGCTCCCTATGGGGCAACGAAACGGGTGAGGGGTGTGCCGGGATGGCTGCGGTGGTGCCATGCGAGCGCAGCCACTTGGGCCTTCGGTGGAGCTCCCTATGGGGCCACGGATCGTGGGAGGTGTGTGCCGACATGGGCGCGGTGGTGCCATGTGAACGCAGTCACTCGGGCCTTCGGTGGAGCTACCTATGGGGCAACGAAACGTGTGAGGTGTGCACCGAAATGGGCGCGGTGGTACCATGCGAGCGCGGGCACTGGGGCCTTCGGTGGAGCTCCCTATGGGGCAACGAAACGGGTGAGGGGTGTGCCGGGATGGCTGCGGTGGTGCCATGCGAGCGCAGCCACTTGGGCCTTCGGTGGAGCTCCCTATGGGGGAACGAAACGTGTGAAAGGTGTGCCGGAATGGGATGGGCATGCGGAGATCAGAGGCAGGGAGCGGAGGAGGGAGGAGGGGGAGAAGAGGAGAGGAGAGAGGGAGAGGAGGAGGAGACGCGGGGCACTATCTCTTCAAAACGAGGGTCCACCACCACAGGATGGTTAAGAAAAATATTAAAAGATGAAGACCCCAGGACCTTCCACAAGGGCCCCAAGTGAGCCCCAAGAGGACCAAAATAAAATCTCAAGAGGACCCCACGAAGACTCCAAGATGGCTCCCAGAGTTCTCGTCTTCGTTGTCCTCCTCCTCTTCTCCTCCTCCTCCTCCTCCTCCTCCTCCTCCTCTTCCTCCTCACTGTCCCCAAGAAGGTCCCGAGATATCCCCAAGAAAAGCCCAAGAGGGTACAACCGGTTTTCCCCCGATCCTTCTTGGCGGCTGTTGCACTCCGTGCTCCTTCCTTCCATGATCAAAACAACTCGCCTGGCGATCGTTTCTGAATTGGCCAGTAGGGCTGCGCGAAGCGTCAAGAATGTTGAGGACGGTGGCTGGAACATTTCTGTGCAATGAGATTGGGTAATGCTGTGTTCGCCCAACATCGTCTTGAATATCTTGTGTCGCTGTGTCGTACCAACCCACGCGTCGTCTCCAATCACAGCGTTTGCCGTGCTCTCTGTGCGACACTACACCGAAGACTTCTAACGTGCCTAATGTACCGTGCCTGTCCAAACTCCGCATCACCTAACGCTCTACTGATCTCATGTTCCGTGTTGTGCGTTCCCTGGCCTCACTCGACATGCTCCGTTTGCTTGTCCTTCCATTGCGTTGCGATGCGCTGCCCTGCGCAGCAATGCCAGGTGGCGTGCTTACCACATTGGGCTCCGACGTACGCTCTGCAAACAAAAAAGCACACCGAAACAAACTTACAAGCAGGCGCGCGGCCCGGCAAACTGTCATGGCAAGGAGCACGCTGGCAGGAACAGGGAAGCAGGCGTACAGCAGAAGGGCTGTACAAGGCCGAATCAAGCCGCCCTTCTCAAAGACGGCGCGCTCTGGGCTCCAATTGACCGCGCGCACAACAACGGGATCCGTACTCGCAAGCCCCCTTCAGGCGGCGACTGGAGAGGGGAATGCGCATTGAGAATCATTCGGCTCCATCGCATTTGTCGATGCTAATTGAAGTTGCGTCTTGGGCACGACGGCATGCTGTTCATTTCGGCGCGTATGTTTTGCGCTTCACTGCCAGGAGAAGCATCATGAGCGCCAGCTCTGCGCAGGTAAGTGTCATAGGTGGGGGGGGGGCGGCACCAAAAGAGGGAGAGAACAACGATTCTAACGCCACGTCGTGACGCGGCTCCGCATGGACTCCCCCACTTCCCTCTTGTTCCCTGCCGAAGACTGCGTGGTTTCCCATGGCGTGGGCAATCAAAAGCAGAAGCCGTGATGACGACAGCACATTCAAAAGCGCGGGAAGCAAAGACTGGCACGACTGGGACTTCTTCCGCGGCGACTGCAACCATTCCAGGCCTCGACCTCCTCTGGGAACGGCTCGGCCAACAAGGCGACCTGCCCGTTGAGCTCGGGCCGACCCACGAGTCCGCGGATCTCCACTGGCGCGCCTCGGGGGGGGGATCGGGAAGCACACAAACCAAGTGAGCAGAGGAAGTTGCACTCGCGCTAGTTAATGCTGCCTCCTAGTTGCCTATGTCTACCCCGTGACCACCGCGAAGCAGCCTCAGGCCACTGCACCACAAGCACACAGCTACGAAATGACAGAGAAGTCGAAGCCCCTGGAACACCTCACCACGACTTTGCAGCCAACCAAGGACTCAAGAAAACAAGTAAGAACCCCTGAGTGCAAGCACTATTGGGGACGAACATAAAATCGGTCATGGCTCGGGTCAGCAATTATTCCCAGACTCATCTGTCTCTACGTCAGAGATTTGCAGCGCTTGCATACCTCCTCCTAAACAGCACGTGCACCCCCATCCAACTAGCATGGCAGGGTAGTCAAGATGCGTCTGACTGACGACGTGCTGAGACTGTCCAAGCGTCGCTACTGGTGCGACCGCGCCTGCGGGACAAACCACCCGCCCTCTGGGCAGCAGCCTGCCCATGGTACAGCCAAAGTCGTGTTACCAAGAAACTGAAAAAAGAAAGCGAAGCTCCCTTTTGGTCCCAGCGGCGCTTGGAGTTACTACCCGAGGAGAAACCTGAGAAAAGGCCCAAGAAATCCGAGCCGTTAGAAATTATTAGTACATTATTATTACTGTAGTCTCCGCAGGCTGCTCCCTCCGGTCCTTGCAACGCTTCGGGGGATGCCCCTCGCCCTAACCCATCTCCATGGTCCCAACTTCGGCGGGACGCTGGATGTAAAGGCGTCATAGTTCGCCTCCACTGCCGAAGACGAGACACCAAAAATTCGCCTGGCGAAGAACCCAACCACATGCAGCTCCCAGTACCGCAAGACAGCTGGAAGCTAAGGAAAGGGGCTAGGAAAAAAATACGGCGTGCGCCGGAAGGACGGAGCGACGTTGCTGATGGGGTCGCGGAAGCCGGCTGTAACTGGTTACATCTGGATGTAACCGGTTACAGCTGATCTGCGCGTCTGTCTGCGCGGCTTCGGGGGCAGCATGCGGCGGGGCCTTGGGTGGAGCTCCCTATGGGGCCACGAAACGTGTGAGGAGTGTGCCGAAGTGGGCGCGGTCGCGTATGCGAGTCTTGCAACTGCGGCCCTCGGTGGAGCTCCCCATGTGGCAACGAAACGTGCGAGGAATGTGCCGAAATGGGCGCGGTCACGAATGCGACTCCCGGAACTCGTGCCTTCGGGGGAGGTTCCTGTGGGGCCACGAAACGTGTGAGGGGTGCGCCGAAACGGGCGCGGTCACGCATGTGATTCCTGGAACTGGAGCCGTCGGCGGAGCCCCATATGGGACCACGAAACGTGTGAGCGGTGCGCCGAAAAATCTGGAGAAGGCAAGCAAATCCAGCCGCTGGGACCTTAGATGGAGCTCCCTATGGGGCCACAAAACGTGACGGCGTGGACCAGACATGCGGGCGCAACCACTGGGGCCTCAGGTCAAGCTCTCTGTGGGGCCACGCACGTCTGAGGGGTGCGCCGAAATGGTGCAGATAAAACATGCGAAGGTAGCCACTGGGGTCTAAGGTGGCGCTCCCTATGCAGCCACGAGACGTGTGAAGGGTGCGCCGAAATAGTGTTGGGAAGGCATGCTCTCGCAGCCACTGGTGCCCCAGGTGTAGCTCCCCATGGGGGCAAGAAGCGTGTGAGGGGTGCGCAGAACTAGTCTTAGTCTAGAGAAAGCATGCGAATGCAACCACTGAGGCCTCAGGGAGAGCTCCCTATGGGGCCACGAAACGTTTGTGAGGGGCGCCGACACGGTGTGGACCAGGCATCCACTGGTGCCTCAGGTCAAGATCCCATGGGGCCACGAAACGTGTGAGCGGTGCGCCAAAACTGCGGACCAGGCATGCAAACGCAGCCACTGGGGCCTCAAGTGGAGCTCTCTAGTGGGCCACGAAACGTGTGAGGGGTGCGCCGACACGGTGCGGACCTGACATGCGAGCGCGGCCACTGTGACCTTAGGTGGAGCTCCCTATGGGGCAGCAGAACATATGAGGGGTGTGAGGGCAGAGGCAGGTATGGGCGAAGGGAGGAGGGAGGAGGGGCAGCGGGTGTCTCTTCAAAGCGATGACCCAACACCACGGGATGATTGGGAACTAAGGCGCCAGCGCGTGGACCCAATACGCTTGATTCGTGTAATAGTGTAATAGCGTGCGTGTGGGAACATAGGAGGGAGTGGAGCCCGATGTGCGGAGACACAACTGTGTGTGGAACCATATGCCCAGCTCCACCTCAACACGCAACAGACGTCGGCGCCAGCTGTTGACTTTTTGTGTGCGCGGAAGCCTGCGTGTGGGGAAAATACTTGCACTTTCGGAAGTCTGCATGGGTTCCAGCTGGACCCCCCTCCCCGAACCACCGCCTGGGGCGGCGCCGGGGACAGCGATCGAGGCACCGCCAGAGGTTTGGGGAGGGGGTCCAGCGCCGACCGAAGAAATCCGCGCATACCTCCAAATGTGTTCATGTCGCTGTTTACTCTGAATGGAGCGCACTACGAGGGCCACAAGCGCGAAGGTCCCTCAGGATCTGCTGAGGTCCCACACCCGAAGGGATCTTGCATACTTTCCCGGGAGTGCCGAGCTGGGGCCCCGCATCCTCACCCTCCGCCTACACTTCCCCTCCTCATCTTCCTTATACTCCTCCTATTAATGGTCATCGTCATCATCACCACCACCATCACAAACATCGTCCCATCATGATCCTCATCATACTCGTCGTCCTCATCATGATCGTACTTCTGAACATCATCCTCATGATCATCATGATCATCATGATCATCATCATCATCATCATCATCATCATCACCACCACCACCACCATCATCATCATCATCATCATCATCATGATCATCATCATCGTCATCATCATCATGATCATCATCATCATCATCATCATCATCATCATCATCATCATCATCATCATCAGCAGCAGCAGCATCATCATCATCATCGGCATCATCATCATCATCATCATAATCATCATCATCATCATCATGATCATCATCATCATCATCATCATCATCATCATCATCAGCAGCATCAGCATCATCATCATCATCATCATCATCATCCTCATCCTCATCATCGGCATCAGCATCAGCATCAGCATCCGCAGCATCATCAGCATCAGCATCAGCATCATCATCACCACCACCACCACCATCATCAGCATCAGCATCAGCATCACATCAGCATCAGCATCAGCATCAGCATCAGCATCATCATCAGCAGCATCATCACCACATCAGCATCATCAGCATCAGCGCCTGCATCATCATCATCATCATCATCATCATCATCATCATCAGCATCATGCCATCAGCATCAGCATCAGCATCATAATATTAATCATCAGCATCAGCATCATCATCATCATCATCAGCAGCATCATCATCATCAGCATCAGCATCAGCATCCTCATCATCATCGTCGTCGTCGTCGTCGCTGTCGTCGTCCTCGTCTCGTCCTCATCCTCATCCTCATCCTCCTCATCCTCATCCTCATCACCATCATCGTCTTAGTATCGTCGTGATGGTAATCGTCGTAATCATCATGCTCATCTACATCGTCATCATCATGGTCCTCACCGCCGTCATCACCACCACCATCACCAGCCCTTGCCCAGGGCAGGAAGGGAGCCTGCTTCGAGTCTGGAGAGCTGCATCTGCTCGAACACTGCGCCGCCAATCTCGCTCAGATCCTGGCGGGCTGGCCAACCCTGGAGGAGGAGAAGGAGGGAGAGGAGAAGGAGGATGGCGGAGGTCGGTCGTTCAGAGGCGGCATTACAACAGTACGTGTGTCGATCAGATAGCACGGTCTTACTGACTGCAAGAACCGAGGCGCCCGAAGGGGGGGGTGGAAGAGGATAGGGAGAGCTTGGACTGGCCGCCTCATCAGGAGCTGGGGCCACTCGGAGGGCTTGTGTCTTTGTGAAGGGATTATCTTCTTCCTCCACCTCCACTGGACTTCGTCCAGGGACTCCAACTCCTCCTTCTCCCCCTCCTCCTCTTTCTCCTCCTCCTCATCCTCCACCTCCTCCTCTTCTTCCTCCTCCTCGACCCTCGACCCTCGACCCTCGACCCTCGACTCTCCTCAACCCTCAATCATCGACCCTTGATCCTCGACCCTCGACCCTCCTCGATCCTCGGCCCTCGACTTTCGATCCTCCTCGAGGAACAGACAAGGGCACGAGCACGACCCTTCGTCCCCCCCGCAGATCCTCGAAGAGGGCGGAGCTGTTGAGCCCGGCCAGCAGCCTCTCCCGCCCCTCGGGGCTGCCTGCCGTGGGCGGGGAGGGGCGGCGGAGCCCCAAACATCCGACGCCGTGTGCTTCTGCTCGCGGCGTGGCTCCCCAGGCCTCCCTACCCCTACCCCCCACGATTTTTGAGGGGGAGGGTTCGCATGTGGCCCCCTACTGGACCTCTTCCCGGGGATCGCCTATCCGTACCGAGCCGCTCTGTCGACGGCCCCGAAGCACGCAGCGGGCGCCCCGAGGCCCCAAATGGACCCAAGACTCGGAGGCGGCCAGGAGCCTGAGCTGGAGAAGCTTAGAGAGAACCGGTCAGGAGGGGGGGGGGGGGGATAAGGGCAGTTTCGCCCAAACTCTGTCCCCGGACCACTCCCAGGGTCGAAACTGACCACCTCTACGATCCGCGTCCAGCCGTGGCGACGAGGGGGCCCCTCTGCGCCCCCAATCCTTCTGCTGGCCGGAACCAGCGCTGGGCTTCCTCAGCCCCCCAGGTGGCTCCAACCCAAAGCCTCCTGTCGTGACGTCTACACGGCGCGAGGAGGTCTGGGGCGAGCGCGCGCGCGCGCCAAGCCGAGGCTGCCGCCGCTGCCCGCGACGGCGGCGAGGGCCGCCAGGCGCACGGCGAACGGCGAGGCGACAAGACGCGTCGGCGGCGAGGCGCTGCGCTGGCCGCCGCCGCCGCCGCCGCCGTGGTCGTCGTCGTCGTTGTCGTCGTCTCATCCTCTCGCATTCTCTCTCATTCTCTCTCATTCTCTCTCATTCTCTCAAATTCTCTCTCATTCTCTCTCTCTCTCTCAATCTCTCTCTCTCTCTCTCCCTTTCCCTCTCTCTCTCCCTCCCCTTCTCGGCCTGTCCTTCTCCGCGCAGCGGCGGCACCCCAACGTCGCCTTCCAGCTGCTCGCCGATACCATGCCTGCACGGCGCTCAGCACCGAGCGAGGCTGGGGGGCCACGTGCGGCGTGGTCCGCTCCATCGCTTCACAAGTGTGCCAGTGTCTGAACACGCAGCTAGGCCTGCACCTCTCCTTGCCGCACGCAGCCTTGGGAGCCCCCAGCACGCGCGGTGCCAGTCCCCGCGGCGCCCGAGCGGACTCCTGCTCGATGCGGGCCGTCTCTCCGTCTCGCTCCCTTTCCCTGTCATACCCTTCCCTCTTTCTCTGTCTCTCTTTCCCTCTCACCCAAGTCATTACTGTCGTCGTCGCCGTTGCGGGTTGCCGTCTCGCCCAAGTCATCGCTGCTGTCGTCGCCGTCACAAGTCTCTGTCGCCGCCACTGCCGTGGTCGCCGCCGACGTGCACTGCCGCGTCGTGACCGTGACCCCAAGGGGAGGGAGGGCCAGCAGCAGCGGAATCCCCGCGGCCTATCTCGCTCTGCACGGAGTCAGGGTCCGCCGCCAGGAGGCGGACAAACGGGTCCGCCTGGGGCACCCCAGCGGACAGCGGACCGACCCCAACCCAGGGGTTTCTTGGAAATCAGGTGGCGACATCCGAAACCTGCCCCCGCCGCCCATCGAGGTGCCTGAATCGTGGATCTGCGAGAGTAGGGTTCGGATTTCAACGCCAAGAAAGATCAAGGCGGTCAGCCTTTGCAGGGTTCCAGCCCCCAAAGACCCGACCCGGGCTCCGACACAACCAAGAACTATCCGGGATGAAAAGCAGCCCCTGGGAACGGGTCGGTAGCTCCGGGACCGCGCGTCGCGTATGTCAACCAAATTAATGGCGTCGGAACTCTGTGACCGTCACGCGAGGACAAGCAAGCTGCGCCAGCATGGGCCAGCCCAGGACAACAACAACGACGAAAATCGTGGATATGCCCTGCAGGCCCACTCAGGAGGACGTATGCTTCAATCCTGCGGGCAGATGTTCGTCATCCACGAAACACGCCCCCCGACAAGCCCTGCGCATCCCACCCATCAGCTGGCACTGCGCATCAGATCGCGCTGCCATGAAATCGCAGAACACGGCCTGAACAAGGCGAGAGAACGAGGACGACGAGGAGGCAGAAAGACGCCGACATTGCTCGCACCCCCCTTGCCCGACGCTCGCTAGCCGCCCTCTCTGCCCCCCCCCCGCCCCCCCGGCTCCACGAGGAGCGGGCGCGGCCGCTCCGCAGAGGCGCCCCCCGCCCCCGCCTGCTCCCGCCTCGGCGCCCCCCCCGGTTCTCGGGGGAGGGGGCCGGGAAGGGGAGGAGGAAGACGACGAGGAGGACAGGAGGAGGAGGAAGAGGAGGAAGAGGACATGGCCAGGAGGAGGAGGAGGAGGAGGAGGAGGAGGAGGGGGCCGGGAAGAGGAGGACGAAGAGGCAGGCGGAGTCTCGTGGACAGAAATGGCCTGGCCAGGATCGGCGCTCGGGCGGACGTTCACGGGCGAGGCAGCACAGGAGGGAGGCGTTCGAGGGTTGAGCAGGGCCCTGAAGGCGCCCTGTTCGTCCATCGTCGTCCTCGTCCTCGTCCTCGTCCTCCTTCTCATCCACATCCTCCTCCGCCTCCATCGATCCTTGACGGCCGAGGATCGTGGTTTTGACTCTTTCAACTTCTGGGGAGCTCCGCAAGACGTCGACGACGACGAGAAGGAGGCAGGCCCAGGGACGGTCAGGAGAAGGATGCGTCCCACGTCGAAACAACGACGCCATCGAGTTCCCGCGATTTCCTCTCCGCATTACCCTCCAAAGTTCTCGGCGGTGGGTGAAGGACTCTCACAACAAGAACATTTGAAGGGGCCCTGGGACACACAAATAAATACACACAAATAAAATAACCCCCCATATTTTCCCATATTTTCTGGGTTTCTGTCTTCCCCCCCACTTCCCATATTTTCCCATATTTTCTGGGGAATCGACGATTAATTGTGTCTGTGTGTTTTTTTCCCTCCTGAACATTGAACCACTGCAGACGGGCGTGCTTGCAAGAACGTCGGCGTCACTCGAGTGTCCCTGCGCCCTCCTGGAGCCCGCCGCCGACGTCCTCGCCGCGAGCGGCGGAGTCGACGTAGCTCAGCGTGGCGTCGTACTTCTTCCTGCCCCACCCGCCCCTCCCTCGTCATCCCGTGCCCGCACACGACTCCGAAGAAGCGCGTGCAGGACGAGAGCGCCGTTTGCCCTACAATCATGTTGCCTCCCCCCGGTGCGGAAGTCCGCACCCCCCGTGCCCCGTGTCCCCTCCAAACGAAGGCAGCAGGGCACACGACACTCCTCCGCGGCAATATATGAGCACGAGGGACGCCGATAAGGCCAGCCTGGAACCCCAAGAAGCGGGAGGCTGCCTCCTGACGCAGAGTGCGCGCGCCCTCCGCCGGAGCTCGCCGCAGGCCCGCGCTCTCTGCAGGGACAGTGGCCCACGGACCACTCCGGGCCCTGCCCCCCGAGGTCCTGCTCTAGGCCTCGGGACCGTGGCACGGCGGGCTCCTGCCGCGGCGACGTCGTCGGCCCCGTCCTCTGACACCCCGCACGCCGTTCGGTCTTGAACGACCTCCGACCTCGGACGAGCCCAGGGGCTCTCGAAACCATGCCTGGCATGGAGCTCCCGCCCTCAGCTGCGTTCTGCTGTCCCCATGGGCCCGAACGGCGGCCCCGACGGCGTGGAACCGCAAGCGCCCGCGCCATCGCCGCCGCAACGAGTCGGCGGCGCGCACAAGGGGGTGGGGGGAGGGGGGAGGGCTTCTTAGGAGGAGGCTGCTTCTCAGAAGGCGCCGGCCTTGCATCTGTGGATAAGGCCCGCGCCTTCTGAGAGGCAGGGGTGCTTCTAAGAGGCAGGGGTGCTTCTGAGAAGCCCTCTGCGCGGGGCGGAACGAGGCGGCACGAGCCCGCCGTTGGCCGAGCCGGCACAAGAGATCACGCGCGCAGGGGCGGGGGGTCGGTGGCTCCAGGACCCCCCGGGGCGTCACGCTGCCGCCACTCCGCGGCGAGCCCGCGCTTGGCAAGTCAGAAGGGCCGGGCCTTCGCAGAGGGCGCGGACGGCCCCACTGGCCTTCCGAGAAGTTCTCTTAGACTTTTTGTTTTGGTTTGTTTTTTGTTTATTTTTTATGTTTTAAATAATTTTGTGGGTTTTTTGTGAATTTTTATGTTTTAAAGAATTTGAGGGTTTTTGAAATTTTCCGAGGCTTCTCCGAAGACATAGGCGACACCGCAGACGGCGGGAGGACTTCTGCGCAGCCCCGCCGCCCTTCTGAGAGGAGGCCTCTGCCCCCCTTCCGCCGCCCTCCCGGGCGCGCCGCCGGGGCGTGCGGAGGCGGAGAGCAGGGCCGTGTGCCTCCCGAGGGCTCCCGAGCACGGCTGCCCCACTGGTGGCGGCTCCCCCCTTCGCACCTCCCAGCCTCCCACCCGACCCACTCCCCTCCGAAGCCTCGATGCTTCGCGGCGCCTTGCCGTCTGCTCATCCCGTCGGGTCTCTTGGGCCGGCATGGCACGCGAGAGCTCCCTCCCGCGACGAACAAATGCAAAGGCCACCCCTGCCGTGAGCCAGGCCCTTCTGACGCCGTAGTCGCGCAAGACAGCGGCAGTCGGCACGCCGACAGCGACCCCGCGCTCTTTCGAGAAGGCTGTGCGGGCGTTTCCTGAAATTGGCGCCGAAGTTGATCTACGCGCAAGCAGCCAGATCTACGGTGCTCATGCAATGCAACATGTCGCATCTCCCCTGTGCACCTGTAAGCGGGGTCCGCGCGCAGCTGGCGACTGATCTCCTCCCCAGCACTCGATGCTTCATGCACTGAAGAGAAGACGGAACAATACCTCAAATAATAGTTGTGGGAAGTGATATGATGACTGCCCATGCCTGCGTACCCAAGCGTGAGAGCATCCGCACATGTGAGAGCACTGCAAATGCGTGCACATGCACTGGCACCCACATACCGCGTATGTCAACACGCACATGTGAGCTTGCGTGCATGATCGCCTGTTGCTACGTGCATGTGCCTGCTCATATGCCTGCGCATGTGCCCGCGTGTTAGCCGTCACGTTCGTGCCTGCGCTCATGCCAAAATCAGCGCTGCTGGAGCACATTTGCAAATTCACCCGAGTCTACATCAGCACCTGGTACAATATATGCATCGGTCTCTACATCCTGCAGTCCCTCTGCCCATATCTCTACATTCCAACGCGATCACTATCCAGCGGCCCTCTCCCTTTGCTTGATCCGCAGGCCCTTTCCCGCTGGAGCCATGCCCACCTCTATCCCAATGCCTCTTCCGCTTCCCGCCCCCTTCCACCCTACATGCACACGTCATTTAAATTCGTGGATTGACCTCACAATCTCTTGTCTCTCTCTCTCTCTCTCTGCATTGATCTTTCAATCTAGCATCCAGCCCCTCCTGGCGTATTCCCTTTATCGGGGGGACCAGACAACAACCTGCGCCCTCACACCCTTGGGAACCCGTCAACGCTCCTTGCCCATCCCTTCCATGAAGGCCCAAGCATCGCGCGCTCCCACCCACTAATTACTAACCCTCGAGGGAAGCATCTATTGAGGCCGCCCAGGTGGGGCCGGACTAGACGGGGTTGGAGAGTGACGCCTCATCTCCCATGTATCGCCAATTCATCGGCGACGCCGGGACGGAGAATATCGGGCTCTGAATCGCGCCGCATCGCCGTTGCATCGGCGATGCATTCATCGGCGATGCGGTGCGATTCTCCTCCAACTCTATTCCCCGCAACACCGATGAGAACTGCAGGGGAAGTAATTATACACGGCGGGTTCGTGTCGCGACGACGTGCGCGTTGGTTTCCGACACCGCGTCGATCGTTCAACCTACACCCTGCGAAATGCTTAAGAAATCATGGGTTAAGAAATTCATAGTCTCAGAACTTTCATAAAAAACCCAACATGTCTATCAAACTCTTAAGATTTACATTGAAACGTTAAGAATAATCGAGAGTCTGGCCGAAAACTTAAGTTTTCTTAAGCATCGCCTAAGGTGTAGAGCCATCGAGGCTCTCCAATAGCCCGGCTCGTTCGATCGAGATCGTCTGACTCCGGGCACGGCGGCGTGCGCTCTCGAAGGCCCGCGCCGAAGACGCCGCCTCATCCATACGACGCGAGCCTTCCACGACGGGCCGGAGGGGGGAAGGGGAGGGCAAAGAGAACGAGAGAGCTCTACTCCCCCCAGCAGCCGACGAGGAGCTCCGCCCGCAGCCCCAAGGAAGCTTCCTAGACCCCAGGGCCCGTTGTGGATGGCCCTGGGACCCGACCACGGGCCCCGGAGGCCGAAAAATCCAGGCCAGGTGCCGGGTTCTCTCGGGGGGGGCGAGGGAAAAAAAGGGGCGATCCAAAAAGGAAAACCGCGCGCTGAGATCAAAAAATGAAAAATCAAAAAATGAAAACAGGCGATCAAAAAACAGGCGATCAAAAACAGGCTTCGTCTGAGATCTCGGGAGCCAACCGCGCGCGCACGGCCCGCAGCGGCCGCGCCGCACGGGCGGGGTTGAGAGAAGAACGCCGAGCAGAAACCGGAGGCCTCCCAGACGGGGTCCGAGTAGATGGGGTCGGAGGATCTCGCCGCATCGCCGATGCATCGGCGATGCACTGGCCACGTCGGCAATGCATCGGCGACGCTGGCGTGGAGAAAATCGAGCTCGCCATCGAGCCGCATCGCCAATGCATCGGCGACGCGGCGCGATCCTCTGACCCCATCTGTCTGCTCCGACCTCATCTGGGATGCCTAAAGAAGCCAAGGAAAAACACAAGGTTTGGAGAAGTCGTTCACGTCGTCGGAGCTCTGGGCCAACGAGGCCAGTGCGGCAGTTCGCGGAACCCCTCCTGGAGTCTAACTGAGCAATGTTTTTGGAAGGTTGCGAAAAGTTATCCCCAGCTCCAGAGGGGGGGAGGCGAGGAAGGTGTTTGAATGTTTTTCCAAAAACCTCCCAACACCCTTCCGAAAAACTTCCAATAACCTCCCCAAAGCCTTCCAACAATCTTCCCATACCGCCAACAAACCTTCCAATCACCTTCAAAACTTTAGCAAAATCGTTCAATACATTCCAAGAACCTTCCAACGACCTTCCAAAAAAAAATCCAAACACCACTTAAACCAACAAGAAATCCAAACAACCTTCCAAAAACCATCCAAAGACCTGCCTAAAACCTTCCTCGGGAAGGTTTGCAGAAGGTTTCGGGCGGATTTCTCCTAAAAACTGTCCGAAAACCTGCTTCAGGAAGGTTTTTGGACAGTTTTTGGGGTATTCCTCCTGATAACACTCCAGAAGCATTCCTCGGGAAGGTTCCAGGAGCGTCTCCTCTTAAGAACCTTCCTCAAACCTTCCGCAGGAAGGCTTCACAGAAGGGCTTCCTCCTGGAAACCTTCCAAAACCCTGCCCGAGAAAGGTTTCAGGAGGGCTTCCTCCTAAAAGCCCTCCTAAAACCTTCCTCAGCAAGGTTTTTGACAGGTTTCTGGAGGATTCCTCTTACAAACCTTCCAAAAACCTTCCGCAGGAAGGTTTCAGGAGGGGTTGGCCGCACTGCCGCACCCAACCGAGGCCGACGCCAGCCCCGCCCACCGCGCGGCCGCTCCCCCGCGGCGCGGCCGCACCGCCAACAGCCCCCCCTTCCGCCCCCGCCTTCAAGTCTTCCAGCCCGCGGGGCCGCTGGAGCAGGTCCAGGAGCTCCTCCGGGCCCAGGGCCCGCCTCCGCGGGGCAGCAAGACACGAAGCATACAACCAATGCCCAACATCAAAAGGCTTGCTTGCCCCTGCGCACGTGGCCGGAACATCGCCGGAACTTCCCCTGGGCGTGGGCTTTTCAGGGTCAAAGTCGGCTCTTCGGGTACACGGGTCTTGGGACTTGAGCATGTAATGCCCTTACGGTCATGGGGCAGTGGTTTCTTACAGAGGTCTGGTATTAGGGCAGTTGGGACTTAGTGCCGCAGGATCTTCGAGCATTCGTGCCTGAGAACTGTGGTCTTGGGAGCTAGGGCTCAGGTCCTTGCAATATGACACTTATTCTAGCTGTTTAGAGATTTGGGCCCTTGGGGCTCTAGCGTCTTAGGATCTTCGGGATGCAAGGACTAACGGTTAAGTGGTCCTAGGGTATTCGGAGAGTTTGATGTTTGGGATGTTTTGGGTCTTCGAAATTTCGGGCCAGGGGAATCAAGTTCTACAGCCTCGGGGCTCCAGCGTCTCAGGGTCTCAGGGTCTTAGGGTGTCACGGCCTTAGGTTCCTATCTTGGGGTGGGCCTCAGGGTCTTAGGGTGTTGGAGTCTTAGGGTCTTGGGGTCTTAGGTTCTCAGGGAATGAGACCGATCGGGAGATAGGGTCTCAGGGAATGAGGGCCTCGGGGTCAGGGGTGGTTAGGGACTTCGGCCCAGGGCCTTCGGGTCTTCGGGCATGAGGGCCTTAGGGTGCCTTGGGGCGTTAGATTTCTTTGGCCGTTGGGTTTTACGGTCTTAGGCTAAGGGTGTTCCAGGCTCGAAAGCCCGCCCAGCCGCTTGAATGTCCCGACAGCCAGAGCCACGCGTCAGGGTCCTCCCGTATGGAGCATGACCACGATGAGAACGGTGAGCTCGAAAATGAAAATGACCAGGAAGTATGATGACGATGAACATGACGCGGATGTTGACGACGAGGGCGATAGTGATGGTGATGATGGTGATGGTGATGACGATAATGACTGAACATGGCGACGATGCTGAGAATGACGATTGTCAGATTGGTAATGGTGATGGTGATGGCAATGATGATGGAAAAGGATACTCCGAGAAGCAAGGGACGATGTAATTAATGTGATAGGCGGGGAACATGGTAATGAGCACGAGCATGAGATTATGAGCAAGATACTTCAGGGGGGACGATAGAGGTAAGGAAGACGAGGAGGACAAGCTGGTGGAGGAAGAGTGGGGGATATGGTGTTTATCGTTTGGAATCGTATGATCGTACCGAGTGAGTCATGATGAAGCCGTCGAAGATGAGCAAATACAAATGTGAGTAACATGATGTTAGGGATGCGGACGCGCAGACGCTCAGGAAAAAGTGGAAGGGGGGTGACGATGGTCATGGTGATGATGATGATGATGATGATGATGATGATGATGATGATGATGATGATGATGAAGATGATAAAGACGGTGGAAATGATGAAGATGTGAATATGCTGATGATGATGCTGATGCTGACGGTGATGATGCTGATGAAGATGGCGACATTGATGAAGATGGTGAAGATGCTGATGCTGATGATGATGTTCTGTGTTCGTCTGTGCACCTTCCTCGAAAGGTCACTGTTCCCAAAACAGGTGCTTGCAGCGTGAAGCATCTCGGGACCATTCCCACAAAATCGCCGCCATGCCGCCCGTCGCGGCCCGTTGCCGCCTAACGCCGTCGCCGCCCGTCGCCGCCATCCCCGCCAGTCGCCGCCCGTCGCCGCCATCCCCGCTGGTCGCCGCCCGTTCCGCCCGTCATCGCCCGTCGCCGCCCGTCGCCGTCGCCGCATCGCATACATGGCACCGCATAGGTTGCGTCACATAGGTTGCATCGCATACATTGCACCACATACATTGCATCGCATGGACTGCATTACACACGTCGTGTGCCGTCGCGAGAATCCTCTGCAGAAAATGGGACGAAGTGCAGACGCGCGCGTCGTCGCGCGCGTACGCCGAAATCCTTCAAAACCCACCGGTTTCGGAAGGATTTCAAAATCGCGCGTCCAAAAAACCTACAAAAACACAAGGTTTCGCAACACGGATTTTCAACAAAAGCGTGCGCGCGCGCTCTTGCGGCGTCGTCGTCGTCGTCGTCTTCGTCGTCGCCGTCCTCCCTCCTCCCGCGTCGTCGTCGTGGTCGTCGCCTACGTCGTCCTGTGTCCTTCCTCGTGTTCGTCGTCGCCTTCTTTTGTCGTGGTCGTTTCCGTCGTCGTTGTCGCCGTGGTCGTCCTTCCTCCTCCTCCTCCTCCTCCTCCCTCGTCGTCGTCGTCGTCGTCCGTCGTCGGCGTCTCGTCGTCGTCCCTCCTATTTCGTCGCCGTCGTCGTCGTCGTCGTCGTCGTCTCGTCGTCGTCTTCCCTCCTCCCTCGTCGTTGTCGTCGTCGGCGTCGCCGTCCTTCCTCCTTCTTCGTCGTTCGCGTCGTCGCCGTCCTCCCTCCTCCCTCGTTGTCGTCGTTGTCGTCGTTGTCGCCGTCGTCGTCCTCCCTCCTCCCTCGTCGTCGTCTTCGTTGGCGACGTCGTCGTCGTCTTCATCGTCGTCGTCGGCGTCGGCGTCGTCGTCTTCGTCGTCGTCGACGTCGGCGTCGTCGTCGTCGCCGCCGTCGTCGTCGTCGTCGTCGTCGTCGGCCGTCTTGCTTCTCCGGCCTTCTTGGGGCGCTCTTGAGACGCCCCCGAGGGCTCCAAGACGACCCCGGAGCGATATCTGTGCTCGGTCCCGCATGGGTTTTGCAAACCAAGTTGCGGGTGGGTGTGTGGGATGATTGCGCGAGCAGTGGAGTTGACAACTTTAAGTTCGGCAAGTGGATTGCACTACATAGATTGCACCGCATGGACTGCATTACATACGTTGCATCGCATACATTGCAACATACATAGATTGCATGACATAAATTGCATCGCATACAGTGCACCACATTGATTGCACCGTATAGACTGCATTAACTAGGTTGCATCGCATACAGTGCACCACATAGATTACACCGCATGTATTGCATTACATAGGTTGCAACGCATACATGGCGCCACATTGATTGCACCGCATGAACTGCATTACATAGGTTGTATCGCATACATTGCACCACACAAATTTCACTGCATCTATATATATATATATATATACATATGTGTATGCGAGTGATTGTATGTGATACACAGGTTGCATCGCATACATTGCACCACATGGGTTGCACCGCATGTATCGCATTACACAGGTTGCATCGCATAGATCGCACAGCATAGATTGCATTGTATATATTGCATTATATAGGTTGCAACGCATAGTTTGCAACGCATAGACTGCACATGCTATGTGGGGTTCGGCCAAACTGAAGACAATGGGCAGGCGCCTGACTATGGACGTCCACCAGGTCCCACCCGCAGTGCCAGCAAGCCAGCTCATTGAGCCCGAAGCGCTTTGGAGATAGGCGATTGGGACAAGGGGAGCACATCCAAGCTCGGCCGACCCTTACGCAAGCCTCCTACACGCGATGGTAGGGGATGGGACTGAGACCACAAAAAAGTGCATGCCGAAGCAGTCGGTCTCCTCCCTCTCTCCCTCCTCCCATCCGTGCGTCTGCCTTCCGCATGTCTCTGTATCGGCACACCCCTCACACGTTGCGTGGCCCCATAGGGAGCTCCACCGAAGGCCCCAGTGGCAGTAGCCACGCGCGCCCTCCCCATCCACCCACCCATTTCGGCACACCCCTCACACGTTTAGTGGCCCCATAGGGGAGCTCCACTGAAAGCCCCTCTGGCACTGGCCACATGCATCACCCCCACCATTTCGGCACACCCCTCACGCGTTTGGTTACCCCATGGAGAGCTCCACCGAAGACCCTAGTGGCAGGGGCCACATGCTTCCCCCCAACCCATTTCGGGGCACCCCTCACGCGCTTCGCGGTCCCACAGGGAGCTCCACATAAGGCCCCAGTGGTGGTGTTCGCATGCGTCCCCCACGCACACACACACACACACACACACACACACACTTCGGCACATCCCTCACACGCGTCGTGGCCCCATAAGGAGCTCCACCGAGGGCCCCAGTAGCACTGGTCGCATGCGTCCCCCTACCCATTTCGGCACACCCCTCACACGTTTCGTGACCCCATATGGAGCCCCTCCGAGGGCCCCAGTGGCAGTGCACGCATGCGCCCCCCCCCACCCACTTCGGCACACAACTCACTTGTTTCGTGGCCCCTTAGGGTGCCAAACCGAGGGCCCCAGTGGCAGTGCTCCCATGCGTCCCCCCCACCCACTTAGGCACACCACTCACTCGCTTTGTGGCCCCATAGGGAGCTCAAGACCCCAGCGGCGGTGTTTGCACGCGATACCCCCACTCATGTCAGCACACCCCTCACATGTTTCGTGGCCCCATAGTGAGCTCAACCGAAGGCCCCAGTGGCAGTGCTCGCACGCGTCCCCTGCACCCATTTTGGCACAACCCTCACAGGTTCCATGGTCCCACAAAGAGCTCCACCGAAGGCCGAAATGGCCGGTGTTTGCAAGCGTCCCCCCCGCGCTTCGTGACCCCAAAGAAGCTCCACCGAAGACCCTTGTGGTGGTGTTCGCACCCCCCACCCATGTCGGCACACCCCTCACATGTTTCGTGGCCCCATAGGGAGCTATACCGAAGGCCCCAGTGGCAGTGCTCCCATGCGTCCCCCCCCCGAAAAAAAATGCCGGCACATCCCTCACACGCAGAAGTCTCGACCCTTTCCCCAGGGCCGGTTTCTCGTCCTGGGCCGTCTTTTGACGGTCCCAGGCCCTGCGAGGGCCCCTGCACCATGAAAACGGCCCAAAAACATCCCTCTGTGCTTCCTTCACGACGCGAGCACGTCTGGAATCGATGCCGTGCCGACGCAACACGAACCTGCCTGTACCTCCTTCTCTCCCCGCGCGCCTTCTGGAATCGCCAGCCTCGGAACGCCTCGGGGACACTGCGCAGCGCAGGCCGGCGCGCTGCTGGCGGCCCGGCGCCAGGCCTCCCCTACGCTGGGGCGCCATCTCGGCCCATTCACTGCAGGTCGCCACTGGCGTCGCCACTGGCAGGGCCAGCGTTCCCCTTGAAATGCGGGCGTTTTCAATGCTTTTTCACGCCAGGCGCTGTCAACGGGCTTCGAGCCCAGGATCACCACAGATCGCTCCAGCTTCACGAACGCCGCAGACAGATGTGGCATAGAGCTCTCGTCGTGATGTTTCGAGGTGTCGTAACTTTTCCGCCGCGCTGGATCGCAGGGCTGCCGCGACAGCCAGCACAGACGTCATCAGCGCCACCGTCCCTGGCACTGCCGTCGGCGCCCCAGCCGCTGCCGAGCGTCCGATTGCCACGATGACCCCCGCCTTTTCTGCCGGTGCCGCCTCTCTCGTTGGGACTCCTTCCAGGCTTCGTCCGCGGTGGTCCGTCGATCGACTGGCTACGGCTCCCTGTGGCGTACCCGCTTGTTGGTCGCCCCAGTGGCGTCCAGGGGGGGCGTCGAAGTCGAGACCTCCTGGACGCCACCGAGAAGCCATTACGCGGCAAAGGAAAGAGAAAGCGGTGGCGAGAAGACGAAGCAAAACGAGCTCGCCGACGGCCGGAGGAGATACCTCACGACAACAAAGGGGGGGGCTGATTGGATCTTGTTGCGAGCCGAAGTTCTCGCGTCAGACACCAAACAGCTCCTGGCGAGGTGAAGCGAATGGGCCCCCGAGGCCCGAACGAGCCTTCCGGAGGACGCAATGCCACCCCAACCCACAAAGAGACGTCTGTCCCGCAGCGGAGCAGACCCTGCTCGGCCCCGACTTCCAAACCCCCGCCCAGCGACAGCCGCGCACCAGCCCAAGGGAGGGGAGGGGAAGGGGAGGGAAGGAGAGGAGAGGGAGAGGGGGAGGAAGAGGGAAAATAAGCGCCTCTGCGCCCAGTGGTGGTAGAGGCAGAGTGAGTAGGACGCAACACGCTGCAACCCAAGCAGCTAACGAATCCCACCAGACCACTGGGCACGACGACGACAGCGGCGGCGACGACGAAGACGTATGAAGGCCATCCAAATGGGATTCTAGGATCGCGCCGCATCAGCGATGCATCGGGCATGCAGTGGCGAAGCACAGGCAACATCGGGATGGAGACACTCACGCCGCGGAGAGTGCGGTGTCGCCAATCGGCTAGCAGTGCCGGTCGGCTGCGCGCACGAGTGGCCCTGGGGAAGAGTGGCCTCTGGTGCGCGGTGCGCGGCTTGCCGATCGTTGCGCGCGATGCGGCCTGCGTACTTGGGGTTGGCCCCCCCACCAAGACAGAGGCAGGATGAGGATAAATCCGGATGAGGACAACTCGGATCTCTCCGAGAGCCTGCGGCTTTGGGGGATGCACCGGGCGCCGCGGCCGTCTCGGAGCGCTCCCGGGCGCCCTGAGCGCGCTCCGCAACGCCCTGGGCCTCCTCCCAGGCCTGCCCGACGCGCGCGCCCCCCGAGAGCGCGCCAGAGGCCACTCCAAAGAGGGGCCGCTCCTGCTCCAGAGGAGGAGGAGGAGGAGGAGGAGGAAGAGGAGGAGGAGGCGGAGGAGGAGGAGGAGGAGGAGGAGGAGGAGGAGGAGGCGGAGGAGAGGAGGAGGAGGAGGACAGGAGACGGAGGAGGAGGAGGGGAGGAGCAGGAGGAGGAGGAGGAGCAGGAGGAGGAGGAGGGGAGAGGAGGAGGAGGAGGAGGAGGAGGAGGAGAGGAGGAGGAGGCGGAGGAGGAGGAGGAGGCGGAGGAGGAGGAGGAGGAGGAGGAGCCGACGAGCTGACCGGCGCACCCCGCCTGGCCCGGGGCACGCCACGGCCGCCTGGCGCCACAGCAGGGCGCCCAGGGCGGCGGCGGCGGCGCCCGCCTGGGCGGGGCGGCCGCCGACGGCCCTGCGCGGCGGCGGCGGCGGCGGCGGCGACGACGAGGACGACGAACGACGACGACGACGACGACGACGACGAGGACGACGACGACGACGACGACGACGACGACGACGACGAACGACGACGACGCCGACGAGGACGACGACGACGACGACGGCGGCGGCGGCGGCGGCGGCCGCTGCGGCGGCGGCGGCGGAGGGACGGCGACGACAACGGCGGCGATAACGGCGGCGATAACGGCGTGGACGGAGCACGCTGCCTCGTCCCGCCGTTTTCGCGAGAGAGATCGCATCAAAACAGCTCGGGGAGATGATGAGGAGTCCATGTCTCTGGCAATCGCGAACGAGTCGCTTCGACTCCTCAAACGGCAATTGCCAGCGCACCTCAACCGCGGAAGAGTGCAGCTGCTCTCCTGGCAGCATCGGCCCTGCTTGTGTATATACATCGTGCTTCTGACGTGCCAGCTCTGAGGACCGGCGCAAGCAGTTTGAAATTGCACTGTACCTGCAAGAGTGACGCGCGGGGGCGCCACATGAAAACAAGTACAAATTAGCTAAGGTAACGCGCGTCCTATTTCCACAACCGTACCTCGAAGGACGAGTTGGAATGTCCTCAGGTCCCTCGGAGTCCTCTGCATGGAAGCTCGTAGTACTTCGTAAGGGGCCCACAGCCCGGAGTTCCAGGCGCTCTCGAGCGCTCCTGGGCTCTCCTTGGGCTTCTCGTGTGGTCGCGTAACTGTTCTGGAAGCAGCAGGCCCAACACCAAAACGCGCAAAGAGGGCCCCAAGAGGCCTACAAGACGGCCCAAGATGACGTCAAGATGGCCCAAGAGGCCCTCGTGACGCCTCAAGAAAGCTCCAAGACGCCCCCACCGAGGGCCCCAAGAGGCAACAATCACTGATGTGTCCCTTCGATTGTGCAATGAGTTTAGCATTCCCCCCTTATTCGGGCGTACGACGCTCTTTCAAGATGGCCCCATAGGCCTCAGAGATCGCCCCGAGAAGGCCCAAGAGCCCCCAAGAGGCCCGCAAGACGGCCGAAGAGAGCAACAAGACAGCCCAAGAGGCCCCCAAGACTGCCTCAAGAGGGAGCCAAGATGGGGAACTCGAACTGACATGTCGAGCCCTCTGACCCAAGATGACCCCTAAGACCGCCAGCAGGACCCCAAGATTGCGGTCATCTCTGTTCCGCTCGAAAGGTTCCCATTCGGCCTTCGGCCGATCCCGACGGACACCCGGAAGGACTCAGAAACGTCCCAGTTCATCGGTCTTCCCGCTCCAGACTGCCCCAAAGTGGTCTCCAAGAATCCCCATAAGGACTCGTAAACTTCCCAGGTCATCAATCTTCCCGCTCCACGACGGCCTTGGTTGCTGAAGAGGGCCTCCAAGGTGCCTCCAACACATCTAAGGTGACCCCAAGAAAGCCCAAGATGGCCGCATGATGTCTCCAAAACCGCCCAAGAGGAAACAGAGATAGTCCCCAAAGAAGGCCTCCGAGAGAGCCTCCATAAAAACTCGAAGAGATCCATCCTCCTCTTCTTTCTTCACCACGTGTTCCACGAAGCGTTTCCACAACGTCTGGAGGAGCACATGATCCGATAGCTTGGCCGAGCTCCGGCCACAACCTGCGGCCACTTAGGCGCTTCCAGAAGGCAGGGGGCAGTGGTGATTCGACATAGGCGTATGTCTGGTGCGCACGCCATGCCGCCATGCCTCGAATTCGCGCTTTCGCTGACGATTCTGGGCTTGGGAGCCGAGTAAGCATCCAGCCAGTGGTGGGTCGCGCTCGAGACCAGCGTCGACCATACCAACCAGCAGAAACGCATCCCCGACCGCTCTGTCCATGGTCTCCCAAGCAGTCGAGGAGCGTTGGGGGCGAAGGGTGGGACTTGCTTGGGTTGGCGGCGCGCACAAGGGGGTGGGGGGGGGAAGGCTTCTCAGAATCAGGCTGCTTCTAAGAAGGGCCCAGCCTTACATCTATAGACAAGGCATCTGTAGACAAGGCCAGCGCCTGCTAAGAAGCAGGGGCGCTTCTGAGAAGCCTTCCCCCCTCCGCCCTAGCGCCTCACACCTCCCCTTCCTCTGCTCGTGCATCCCTCGTTCTCCCTGGGCCTCCTCCTCCTCCTCCTCCTCCTCCTCCCCCTTCTCCTTGCCTCCTTCTTCCTCCTCCTCGTCCTCCTCCCCTCCGGCAACCCCCCCTCTTCCCTCGCAGATCCTCGCGTGGCCGACTGGGGGAGGGCTGGCGTTGACTTGGCATCGGCGATACCCGGCCGGTGGATCGGCCCTCGGCACTCGGCCGCCGCACCGCACGGCCCCGGGCCGGGTCCCGAATTGGGATGACGATGAGTGCTCGTAGGTCCGCTGCGACGCCCCTCCTGCGGCACAGCCCAGCCCCCCCCCCGTGGTCCTCCTCCTCCTCCTCCTCCTCCTCCTCCTCCTCCTCCCCTCCTCTCCTCTCCTCCTCCTCCTCTCCTCCTCCTCCTCCTCCTCCATCCTCCTCCTCCTCCTCTCCTCCTCCTCCCTCCCTCCGCGTCCTCCGCGTCCTCCTCCCCCTCCTCCTCTTCCTCCTCCTCCTCATCCTCCTCCTCCGTTTCCCCCCTCATGCTCCTCGTCTCCTCATCCTCCTCCTCCTTGGAGTCAAAACTGTGGGACAATCTGCAGGCTTAGTTATCGCTGCACGCTTGTTTGACGCAGTCGGCCAGTCTCTCGCCACGCCCTGCGGGTTGATCTCTTCCCTTCTCCCCCGGCGCCCCCAAGAACGAGTCAGAGAGGAGGGACCGGCGCGCCCTCCACCTCCGCCGCCCCGGCCAGGAACTCCTCCCCGCTGCTCGCGTGGGCGCCGCAGCAGAGCCACCTCCTGGGGCAGCGCAAGCCGTGCACCAGGCAGGGCTCGAGGCACGCCTCCGCGCGTGCTGGGACGCGCGGCAGCGTGCCTCGAGATCCGACGGTGCGTTTTCCAACGCGGATATGGATCGATGGTGGCCCTGGGGCCCGAAGCCGGGCGAACACGCCCGCGGTCAGAAAAAACTGCAACGCCCAGATCTGAGGGTGTAGCGAGCTGGCCTGGCCTCCACCAGGCAGCGCAGCGCCCAGCCAGCCCCGCGACGGCGGCGCTCGCGGCGGCGGCAGGCGCGGCGTCGGAAGCGCCGCGCTCGGCGCCACCCAGGGCGCCCGCGCCCGCCGCCGCGCAGGCCCACTTCTGCGACGGCCCGGGCTGCGCTACCAGGGCGTCGCCCAGCGGCCCGCAGCCAGCCAGGTGCGGCCTGGAGCGCTGGATCCACTCTTCTGGCAGGTCCAGCTCGACGCCCCACGCGTCTGGCACCAAGACCCCGCCGCGGCAGACGGGGCAGGTGAGGCCAGGCAGCGGCCCCTGGTGGCCCCAGTGCCGGTCCAGCTCGTGCCGGAGAAGGTCCTCCCAGCAGCCAGTGCATACGCGGTGGCCCTCGAAGTTCATGCCCTCGCCGCAGCCCTTGTGCGGCGGGACGAGGGTGTGCTCCTTGTCCTCCATGCAGATGACGCACTGCTTCGCGCGGGCGGTCATCAGCTGTCTGCCCTTCGCGGAGCCTGGAGCCCAGGGGTCCGGCAGCACCGCCGAGAGGTCGCGCAGGGACACCTCCTGCTCGTCGTCGAAGTCCTCTAGCGACAGGTCCTCCTCCACGATCGGATCCACTTCATCCTCCTTGAAAGACGCCAACTGTGTACACCAACCGACCCTGGCGGGGACTGCCCTCTGCTCAGACTCGATTTGTCAGCCCCCCCAGCTGGGCGCACGCGCCGAACCCCCGGCCCCACGATCGGCCCTGCCAGGATCAGTGCATGCCTAAAACCCGACGTCCCGATGCTCTCCCAACCTGGACTCTTGGTGGCTTGGACCCATTCTCTGGGAGCGATTCTTCATCCTGACTCGTTCCTTCACGGTCCTGCGGTCCAAGCGGAGGCGGAGGCGGAGGCGGAGGCGGAGGCGGAGGAGGAAGCGGAGGCGGAGGCGGAGGCGGAGGAGGAGGAGGAGGAGGAGGCGGAGGAGGAGGAGGAGGAGGAGGAGGAGGAGGAGGAGGAGAAGGAGGAGGAGGCGGAGGAGGAGGAGGATGAGGAGGAGGCGGAGGAGGAGGAGAGGCGGAGGAGAGGAGGAGATGGAGGAGGAGGAGAGGAGGAGGAGGAGGAGGAGGAGGAGGGAGGAGAGAGAGGAGGGGAGGGAGGAGGAGGAGGAGAGGAGGAGGAGGAGGAGGAGGAGGAGGAGGAGGAGGAGGAGGAGGAGGAGGGAGGAGGTGGATGAGGAGGAGGAGGAGGAGGAGGATGAGGAGAGAGAGGAGGAGAGGAGAGGAGAAGGAGGATGAGGAGGAGGAGGAGGAGGAGGGCCCCCTGAGGCCGAAAAAACTTCGACAAGAAAATCAGAGCGTAGCTTTGTTCGCGGCGCAGGGAGGCCCTGCTCCCGGAGACCACGCCGTCGGGCCTCCGGCGGCTGCCCCGGACACGCCCGGACACGCCCGGGACGCCCTCGGCGGGGCGCAGCGGAAAGCAGCACCCCGAGGCTGGAGAGCCTCGCATCTGCGAGAGGAGGAGGAGGAGGAGGAGGAGGAGGAGGAGGAGGAGGAGGAGGAGGAGGAGGAGTAGGAGCAGGAGGAGGAGGAGAAGGAGTAGGAGGATGAGGAGGAGGAGGAAGAGGAGGCGCGTCTTGGTCGGGCACGTCCTCCCACAGGCGGGCCCTCTGGAAGAGAAGCAGAAGCCGTCCAAACGTTCCCTGAATCTGTCCCCGGACTATCCTTCTTGTCGGCGGTGGACGTACCTCCCTCTATAGTAAACCTCCCCTCAGTGAAAACGGCCTGGGACCGAAAGCGACGGACCTGGACACGCAAAAATGACGGCCGCGACGCCCTCTCGCGAACCGAACACGGCCAATTCCTTCATCGACGTGTCGGGGTAGGAGGTCCATCCACCTCCGACTTCGACTGCCTCTGACTGCTCCTCCTGTACGAGGGCCGCGCCCGAGTTAAAAGCCTGCGGTCCTTCTCCCGCTGCCGCACCGCAGCGGGCGCGGGCGCCGCGCAGGCGGCTGCCCGGGCGCCGCCGAGGAGCCGCGCCGGGCGCACGGGGCCCGCCGCGCGCCCAGAGGCCGGAGAGGCCTCGGGCTGCTCGGCTCCCCGCGGGGTCGCGTCGCGTCGACCCCAGCGCCGTGGAGGCACGGAAATTGAAGGGGGGTGTCCAAGAGGGGGGGGTGCAAATCATGACCGGCGGCATGTGCGCGGCCCAGCGGTGGGGCCAGGGACGTCATGAAATTCGCCGGCCCAACGGGCCAGAGGCGTGCTAAGATCTCCGGTAACTGGTTAACAATTTTCTAGTTCGCGCGCGCGGGGCGGCCCCTGGGGGTCCCCGGACGAAAAGTACCCCGACCAGGTCCCGGCCGGTCCCCGGCCGGGTCCCGGCCGGGTCCCGGCCGGGTCCCGGCCGGCCGGGGTCCCCCCGAGCGCTCCATGAGCGCACCAACAGGGCTCCGAGACGTCCCCGAGAGCCCCAAGAAAGGCCAAGAGGCCCCCAAGAGGCCCCCAAGATGGTACACGAGGGGTCCGACATGCCACAAGATCGCTCCAAGACGCCCAAGATAGCCCCCAGACGCCCCAAGAGGCCTCCAAGAGCACTCCCACTAGGGCCCCCGGAGGCAAAAATCATTGTTTTTCCATAGGTTTTTGAAAGATTTTGGAGCTTCCACCTTTTCGGCTTCCCGACGCCCCAAGACGGCCCAAGAGGCCCCCAAGATCGCCCCAAGAGGGCCCAAGAGGCACCCAAGAGGGCCCCAAGATGGCCCAAGAGGGCTCGAAGACGGCCCAAGAAGCCTCCAAAACGGTCCAAGAGGGCCCCAAGAACGCCCCCAAAGGGGCCCCAGAGAGGGAACACGAAACAACATTTCGAGCCCTCGGCCCTAAGAAGCCCCTACGAGGCCCCTAAGAGGCCCCAAGAGGCCCCCACGGGGCCCTCAGGAGGCCCCCAAGAGTCCCCCAAGCGGCCCCAGGAGGCCCCCCAAATGCCCCCCCGAGCGCCCCAAGAGGGCCCCAAGAGGCAAAATTCAGTGCTTTTCCTTAGGTTTTGAACATATTTTGGCTTTTCCACCTTTTCCGCTTCCCGAAGCCCCAAGACAGCCCAAGACGACTCCAAGATCGCCCCAAGAGGGCTCAAGAGGCCCCCAAGAGAGCCCCAAGACGGCCCAAGACGGCTCCAAGACGGCCCAAGAGGTCTCCAAGACGGCCCAAGAGGGCCCCAAGAACGTCCCAAGAGGGGGAACACGAAACAACATTTCCAGTCCTCGGCCCCAAGAAGCCCCCAGGAGGTCCCAAGAGGGCCCTCAGAGGCCCCAAGAGACCCCCCAGAGGCTCTCAGGAAGCTCCCAAGAAGCCCCCAAGCGGCCCCAGGAGGCCCCCAAAATGCCCCCCCGAGCACGCGAGCAAGCGCCAGCGATGCTACAATATGGCCAACCGCCAGAGCATCAGCGACGGTTTTTTTCTTCCAGCCCTCCTTGCTCTGGATCCGTCAAATCACACCCCTACATGTCGTTTCACTTTCCCCTCAATGGCTCAGCGCTCCGCCGACCCGACGTCGCACCCTCCGTCTTCCAGCAATCGCTGCGTCCGGGTCGGTTACATTGCTTTCACCTTCTTCCGCGCAGCGGGCCCCGTGGAGCTCTTGCAGGCTCGGCATACTGCGCCCCGGCCGTGTCTCCGCGCATGCCGCAACACCTCCGCGTCGAACTCTGTCGGGCTCTTCGTCGCCCCACACGACGGGCAAGTCGCCAGCGCTCCGCACTGTCTGCACGCCTTCTCGGCCTTCGTGAAGCACTGCCTGTCTAAGACCTGCTCGCATTCTGAACACTTGTGGCATGCCAAGCACCTCCTCACAGGCCGTTCAGCTCCCCGCTGCCGCTGCCGCCCGCCATCCGGAAAGGAGACCTTCGGCAGCATCCTCTCGCACACCTCGCACTTCTTTGCTGCCGCGCCGCACTGTATGCACGCCTTCTCGGCCTTCGTGAAGCACTGCCTGTCTAAGACCTGCTGCATTCTGAACACTTGTGGCATTCCAAGCACCTCCTCACAGGCCGTTCAGCTCCCCGCTGCCGCTTCGGAAAGGTGACCTTCGGCAGCATCCTCTCGCACACCTCGCACTTCTGCTCGCACTGTATGCACGCCTTCTCGGCCTTCGTGAAGCACTGCCGCTAATTCTCTGAACACTTGTGGCATTCCAAGCACCTCCTCACAGGCCGTTCAGCTCCCCGCTGCCGCTGCCGCCCGCCATCCGGAAAGGAGACCTTCGGCAGCATCCTCTCGCACACCTCGCACTTCTTTGCTGCCGCGCCGCACTGTATGCACGCCTTCTCGGCCTTCGTGAAGCACTGCCTGTCTAAGACCTGCTCGCATTCTGAACACTTGTGGCATTCCAAGCACCTCCTCACAGGCCGTTCAGCTCCCCGCTGCCGCTGCCGCCCGCCATTCGGAAAGGAGACCTTCGGCAGCATCCTCTCGCACACCTCGCACTTCTCTGCTGCCGCGCCGCACTGCATGCACGCCTTCTCGGCCTTCGTGAAGCACTTCCTGTCTAAGACCTGCTTGCATTCTGAACACTTGTGGCATTCCAAGCACCTCCTCACAGGCCGTTCAGCTCCCCGCTGCCGCTGCCGCCCGCCATTCGGAAAGGAGTCCTTCGGCAGCATCCTCTCGCACACCTCGCACTTCTCTGCTGCCGCGCCGCACTGCATGCACGCCTTCTCGGCCTTCGTGAAGCACTTCCTGTCTAAGACCTGCTTGCATTCTGAACACTTGTGGCATTCCAAGCACCTCCTCACAGGCCGTTCAGCTCCCCGCTGCCGCTGCCGCCCGCCATTCGGAAAGGAGTCCTTCGGCAGCATCCTCTCGCACACCTCGCACTTCTCTGCTGCCGCGCCGCACTGCATGCACGCCTTCTCGGCCTTCGTGAAGCACTTCCTGTCTAAGACCTGCTTGCATTCTGAACACTTGTGGCATTCCAAGCACCTCCTCACAGGCCGTTCAGCTCCCCGCTGCCGCTGCCGCCCGCCATTCGGAAAGGAGTCCTTCGGCAGCATCCTCTCGCACACCTCGCACGTTAGACGCGCGCTACACTCTCTGCAAACCTTCTCGGCCTTCGAGAAGCACTGCTTGTCCAGCACCTGCCTGCACTCGGGACATTCGTGGCATTCCAGGCACCGCCGGACATGCCGCTCAGCACCACTCTGTCGCGTCCGCCCGCACCGCGGAAAGCTGTCCTTCGCCAGCGTCCTCTCGCACACCTCGCACTTCACAGGTGCGCACATCGCGCACACCCGCCCATTGCAAACGAATTTCCTGTAATCCTCGACCCTTTCCTTGCAAACGACGCACACTTCGCACTCCGCGCACCGACGGATGGCCTGTCTGCGAACTTGGCGAGGCTGGCCTCGGAAACTGATCACTGGCTTCTCCGTGCCGCACACAGTGCATTCGAAGACGCACTGGTCTTTGCAACACTTGGAACAGCAATGCGCCACTTCTGCCCCTGGCAGCCTGAACGCGTGCACGCCTGACACGTACTCCCCGCACTTGGCGCAGACGTACACCTCGTAGCTGGCGGCAAGCACGCACGCGTTGCACTCGTCACTCCCTTCCTCGAACAGCGCTATAATCTGTAGATGCTGACACGAAATGCACTGTTTCTCCAGGAAGGTCGCCGCCGCATCCTTTGCCCGTTCGCTACACAACGCGTCCGCGCACGCCTTGCACTCGCGCCAATGCCCCGAACCCAGACACTTCTCCCCGACGTCTCCCCGATGCCGCGGCTTTGCTCCGAAACCCTCCGCTGGAAACGCCAGGCGACAGCACCAGCAAGCCCACGTTGGACCTCGTTGCTTCCTCCGCTCCCTGCCAGCCTCCTGCGCAGCCACCATCGTGGCATACTCCTCCGTCGCCTCAGCTCTGCCGTACTCCTGAGCCTCTCCTGCAGGCCCTCCTGCAGTCGCTGCGTCTGGCCCATGCCGCGCGCGCAGCAACTTCAACAAGCAGTGGGGCCCCGCCGCGGCGCCTTGTCGGAAAAGCTCAGGTGCGAAAGCGCGCAGCAATAGCAAACCCTCTGCCGACGTCAGCCGCGAGAGAATAACGTACGCGGTCATCGCCTCGGAGGAGCCGACCAGATCCAGGACGTCTCCACAGTCGGCGAGCCCGGCCGTCAAGGTCGCCCCCTGCATCATGAACGCCGTGCTGGCGAAGTCCGGGATCCACGTGAAACCCGTGCGCCGCATCTTCGCCCCCGACGCTGAATTTCCGCACGCGCCGGCTCGGCGCTCCGTCGGCCACTGCGCACCCTCCGACCCTCTCGCTGTCCACTCTCCATCCCCCCCTGTCGTCACTTCTACCCGCCTCCTCTGCCCCCCTACACATTGTCCTTCTCTCCCGCTTTCCCTTCGCGCCCTTCTCCTTCTCCACTCCCTCTCCCGACGACGACTCGACTATCCGACGGAGCTGCCGACGAGGCTCTCTACATAACTCCCACGTCCGTTGCACAGGGTGCAGAGGAAATACGCCAGGGCCCAACTTCGGATCCACGTTCCATGTCGCGCCGTCCACGCGGAGGTACAGGCAACGGGGCAAGTAATTCAGGAACCTCTCCGACCCCGCCACTCGAACGCGATCGGCGGGGTGGAGCTCCCACCCGACCAACTCGCAAGACATGTGCTTGAGAATCACAATGTCCTTCGCCTTGCACACTTTTTCGGTCGTCCGGCCCTTCATACCCACATACAGAATGTTAACGCCTGGAATCCCCGCCGTTTTCTGATCGTGGAGCATGAGCAACTTCTCCAGACCCTGCTTGAGCTTCCCCGGTGTCTTCGCAATCTGCGCTGGGTTGTCCGGCTTATCCTGAGCGGTGAACCATAGGGTATGCAGCTCGTGGGCCTTCGCGAACTCTGCCGCCCTCAGCAGCATAGCGTGGTACTTCGGGTCGTTGTTCTTGTGCATGTACGGTGCTGACACGAAGGGCTCCTGCACTACGCGCTGGTCCTCCGGCAGCACCAGCCGGTTCCTCCTCTCACGCTCGGACTGGCACTCTGCGCACTCCAGCTCCCGCATGGCTTGCCAGGTCGCCCCGCGAAGCTTCATGTCC